GCAACCGCCACGCTCGGCGAGGAGGCAGGCAGGTCAAGTGGCGGATTGCCCATTCTTCTCACCGCCCAATCGCACGGGGGAGGGCTGGGCTGGCTCGGTAATCAATCGTAGAAGCTGTGGCGACGAGACAGATGGATGGAGCGGCCAGGTGCAGCGGATGAGTCCCCACGGCGACGCTCGTGGACGCCGGCGTGCGTGAGCCGGAACCACCAGTGTGAGGTCCTGCCTCGCAACGCAACAAAGTGAATGGAATTCGCAGGCTGGGCCGCGATTTGCCCCACCTTCCGAGTCCAATTTTTGCAGGAGAAAGCGCCGTCAGTGGTGCATTCGCCGCTGGGAAAGTGGTTCACCCGGCCTGCTGCGGGCGTGTGAGTGGCCCGCCGAGGGACACAGAGACCACACCAAACCTTTTTTCCCTCCACCTGCCCAGTTGCCAGTCCACACCCCGCCGCCAGTCCCTCTCTTCTGCGACTACTTCTTCCCTCCTCCTCCTCCCCCCCCTCTTGGATCGATTTCCTCCCCTCCCCTCCTCAATCCTCACCCCTGGTCCAACCACAACCAGCGTCCTTCAGGAAAGAGTGACAGTTGAAGTAAACAGCTTCACTGTCATTTCGGCCTTCCCTCCAACCTCTCTCAGCTACCCGAAGCACAAAAGCTTCCGGCAGCCAAATCCGCGCGGGGCAAATTCTGCGACCCCGCTTCACCAACCCAACTGTGAAATTTTCCAGGTTCGCTACGTGCGACAACAACCGCCAAGATGGTCAAGTAAGTTGAAACCTGATCCTTCATGATACCTCTGGTCCGCAGCTCGAGTGGCTCTATTTTTTCTGGCCTCGACCTTGTCGCGCGCGCGCTGGCTGCGGCTCGTCCGGCCACCACGCACCAGAAATTTCGCACGGTCGCCCAAATAGAGGGGAAAACAGCTTCGAGCTTGGGCAAAAAACAACCCCGCTCCGCACCTCCCGACATGGTGGTGGCGGCGGCCGCAGCACAACGAGCCACCAGAGCACGATGGGCATCATGACAATCAATCACAAAGATCATCATGGCTAACAGATTTTCCCCGCCAGCTTCACTATCGAGGAGATCCGTGCTCTCATGGACAAGCCCACCAACGTGCGCAACATGTCCGTCATTGCTCACGTCGATCACGGCAAGTCGACCCTCACCGACTCCCTCCTGTCCAAGGCCGGTATCATCTCCACCGCAAAGGCAGGAGATGCTAGATCAATGGACACAAGACCGGACGAACAGGAGCGTGGTATCACCATCAAGTCTACCGCCATCTCCCTGTACGGCACCCTCCCCGACGAGGATGATATCAAGGACATCGTTGGCCAGAAGACCGACGGTACCGGCTTCCTCATCAACCTGATCGACTCCCCCGGTCACGTTGACTTCTCGTCCGAGGTTACCGCCGCCCTCCGTGTCACTGACGGTGCTCTCGTCGTCGTCGACACCGTCGAGGGTGTCTGTGTCCAGACCGAGACCGTCCTGCGTCAGGCTCTCGGTGAGCGCATCAAGCCCGTTGTCATCATCAACAAGGTCGACCGCGCTCTCCTCGAGCTCCAGGTCTCCAAGGAGGACCTTTACCAGTCCTTCTCGCGTACCATCGAGTCCGTCAACGTCATCATCTCGACTTACTTCGACAAGTCTCTCGGTGACGTCCAGGTCTACCCCGACAAGGGTACCGTCGCCTTCGGTTCCGGTCTCCACGGCTGGGCCTTCACCATCCGCCAGTTCGCCGTCCGCTACGCCAAGAAGTTCGGCGTCGACCGCAACAAGATGATGGAGCGTCTCTGGGGCGACAACTACTTCAACCCCGCCACCAAGAAGTGGACCAAGAACGGTACCTCTGACGGCAAGCAGCTCGAGCGTGCCTTCAACCAGTTCATCCTGGACCCCATCTTCAAGATCTTCCACGCCGTCATGAACTCCAAGAAGGACGAGGTCACCAACCTCCTCACCAAGCTGGAGCTCAAGCTCGCCGTCGAGGACCGCGACAAGGAGGGCAAGCAGCTCCTCAAGGCCGTCATGCGCACTTTCCTGCCCGCCGCCGACGCCCTTCTGGAGATGATGATTCTCCACCTCCCCTCCCCCGTCACCGCTCAGCGCTACCGCTCTGAGACCCTGTACGAGGGTCCCACCGACGACGAGGCCGCCATCGGTATCCGTGACTGCGACCCCAAGGGTCCCCTCATGCTCTACGTCTCCAAGATGGTGCCCACCTCCGACAAGGGCCGCTTCTACGCCTTCGGTCGTGTCTTCTCCGGTACCGTCCGTTCCGGTCTCAAGGTCCGCATCCAGGGCCCCAACTACACCCCCGGCAAGAAGGACGACCTCTTCATCAAGGCCATCCAGCGTACCGTCCTCATGATGGGCGGCCGTGTCGAGCCCATCGACGATCTTCCCGCCGGAAACATCGTCGGTCTTGTCGGTATCGACCAGTTCCTGCTCAAGTCTGGTACCCTTACCACCCTCGAGACCGCCCACAACCTCAAGGTCATGAAGTTCTCCGTCTCCCCCGTCGTCCAGCGCTCCGTCCAGGTCAAGAACGCCCAGGACCTGCCCAAGCTGGTCGAGGGTCTCAAGCGTCTGTCCAAGTCGGACCCTTGCGTCCTGGTCATGTCCAACGAGTCCGGCGAGCACGTCGTTGCCGGTGCCGGTGAGCTCCACCTCGAGATTTGCCTCAACGATCTCCAGAACGACCACGCCGGTGTTCCCCTCATCATCTCCGACCCCGTCGTCGCCTACCGTGAGACCGTCGCCGCCAAGTCCAGCGGCACTGCCCTGTCCAAGTCTCCCAACAAGCACAACCGTCTCTACATGGAGGCTGAGCCCATCACCGAGGAGCTCTCCCAGGCCATCGAGGGTGGCAAGGTCAGCGCCCGCGACGATTTCAAGCTCCGCGCTCGTGTCCTCGCCGACGACTTCGGTTGGGATGTCACCGACGCCCGCAAGATCTGGGCCTTCGGTCCCGACACTGTCGGCGCCAACCTGCTCGTCGACCAGACCAAGGCCGTCCAGTACCTCCAGGAAATCAAGGACTCCGTCGTCTCCGGTTTCCAGTGGGCCACCCGCGAGGGTCCCGTTGCCGAGGAGCCCATGCGCTCCGTCCGCTTCAACGTCATGGATGTCACCCTCCACGCCGATGCCATTCACCGTGGTGGCGGTCAGATCATCCCCACCTCGCGTCGTGTCCTGTACGCCGCCGCCCTCATGGCCGAGCCCGCCCTTCTCGAGCCCGTCTTCCTCGTCGAGATCCAGGTCCCCGAGCAGGCCATGGGTGGTGTCTACGGTGTCCTTACCCGCAGGCGTGGTCACGTCTTCAACGAGGAGCAGCGCCCCGGCACTCCCCTCTTCACCATCAAGGCCTACCTGCCCGTCCTGGAGTCCTTCGGCTTCAACTCCGACCTTCGCCAGGCCACCTCCGGCCAGGCCTTCCCCCAGATGGTCTTCGACCACTGGCAGGTCCTGCCCGGTGGCTCGCCCATCGACGGTACCTCCAAGACTGGTCAGCTCGTCCAGGACATGCGCAAGCGCAAGGGTCTCAAGGTCGAGGTTCCCGGTGTCGAGAACGTAAGTCTGCCCCAGCATCCCGCGCTCGCCACTGAGACAATGCTAACTCCCGTCAACAGTACTACGACAAGCTGTAAGCGTCTTGTTCTTGACGAACTAGAACAAAGCAACGTGTCCCTCGAGGCACCACGCATAGACCAGGGTTCTACAGCCGTTCCGAATTGTCGGCCGAGCAAGAGACGCCGACTCTCTGGAAGTGGTCCGAAACGATATCAAAAACGGAGAGCTCGGTCGAGACGATCAGCAAAGAGGCAGATTTCTTTGACCCGGACCTCATGACGTGCCTGTAGTTTGGTACTTAAGGAATTGATGAATGTTCAGAATGACTCTTGTCTCGTGTGCCTGTGACCCTCCAGCCTTGAAGGCGTAAACCTTTGAAGCAACGCGCCGAAGCGGTTGACCACTGGACGGCTGCATTCGAGGCTTCCCCACCTGTGTCCTTGAAACGAAATCGCCAGCCCGCTCGGTCAGTGGCGTCGATGAGATCAAGACACGAATGGCTGCCTTGAGGTGGGCGACTATAAGAAGGCAGCCGCCCCTCCAGAATGTGAATGCCCATCCAATCTCAAGGCTCATCAGCGTTTCGGGATCGACGCTGGGGGCAAATAAACAGTATCTGTTCTTTTCAAAATATGGCCTGTGATGAAAATAGGGGATTCGAGGAGGGGCATGTTGGACATTTTGTCCAGCTACGCAACACTCGATAACTTGACAAGCTGAGGCCGATTGACGCGTTTGATTTTGTCTTTTTCTTTCCTTTGCTTCTTGTTTGGTTTGGTGTATCTGCTCGCTGCATCCACGCTACGTCCTGTTGAGCGGCTTTAGATTTTTGATTCATCTTTGGATTGGAGTTACTATGTTGCCTAGACAAACGGTTCCCCTGGGGCTACTGTCATGGCAGAAGTATCATCAAGAACTTCAAATCTACTGCGAGACATCTCGTGGAGGCGTTCTCAATATCCCTTGTCGTTGTTGTCGTTTCGGAAGCATTAGACCATTGGATGCCTTTGGTGGCATCGTGAGCCCGATTGACGAAGTCAGGTGGGAGGAAAGAACCTCTTAGCATTCTCCAGCGGAAGATGAACTGTCTTAACAGGAGCATCATGACCTGAGGGTTTAACACCAGTTTATAGAAAATTGAATCGATATGACGTTATTCAAGTGTGCCACGTCGTGCCTTGAGCCGCTGGATGTCTTCGCGGCAAGTTCGTTTTGCACAAATTTGTTGAGAAGGGGAAAATATAATAGACATTTCGAAAAAGCTAGATCAAATATCCCCTTCCCTTAAACGCAGACTTCAGATAATAATAAAAATGGTAAACAAAAAATGAAAATGAACAGAGAACTTCGTTCCAACAATTTGTTCAATTCAATATAAGTCGGGTGCGTGGTGCTCAGTGCGAGAGCAAAAAGCAAAAGCTAGGTCCTGCCCGGGTTTGAACCGGGGCGACCAGAAGGTTCGAGTCTCCTCAAAATCTGGCATCCTAACCGCTAGATCACAGGACCAGTGCGATTGACCGCTAGGCCATTCGGCTGATTCGTTGTGTACCAGGAGGGAAATGGTGGTAAATGAACCTTGCAATTCCCTCTTTGGGGCCCCACCTGGGGCAACCTCAATTTCTCCCGCTTTAAAACCCGAGCTTTCTGGAGCTTCCCAAATTTCTCTTGCATCATCTGCAGAACCGCCAGCCGCCTCTGTCAACAACCCGAATGGCAGCGCACCCGGCGCACACCCTTCGCAACCTTCATTTATTCAGTCGGTGATGTTGCGGACAGCGAGATGCTGTATCCCGAGGAGGACGCGCCGCACGTGCGGGCGTGGCTGTTGAAGAAGCTTCCTGAAGTGTATGTTTCTTCCTCCTGGACGCGTCTTCTCGTACTTTGCTAACTTTATCGCGCGATAGATCCGATACCGAGACGGATATTCTTGCCGATTACGTTCTAGCTCTTCTCGACACGTACGACAGGGTATCCGATGAGGTCAAGGGGTACATGGAGAAGGAGCTGCTTGATGTTCTCGAGCCTGGTGCGTGCTACCCTTCTGCAGCCTTGCATCTCGAATCTTGCTAATCTCTTGCGCAACAGACAAGATCCCCCAATTCGTTGACGAGGTCTTGCGAGTAGTCCAGTACCAGTCTTACCTTCCTGGCGCTCCACCCCCGCCACAGCACTTGCCGACGCCGACACAGCCGAATGACAGCGGAAGATCAGGCCTCGATGATTCCAATCGCTATGATCCGCGTGAGCGGAACGGCAACAAGAAGCGAACCTACAGTGATGCCGTCGGCGACGATGGTGTCAACACTCAAGGCAGAGCTGGTGATGGTCGCGTCTTCAAACAGCCTCGTGGCGGCGCGCACTCGTCAAGACGAGGAGGCGCATCGCCGCCATTGAACGCTCCCACCGGCCCAAGTAACGGGCTTGCGCATGGCTTCGATCCTATGGCAGCGTCTTTCCAGCCCGGCTTCGGCAGTTCCTTCAATGGCCCGCAATTTTCACCACAAGAGCTATCAAGGCCTTACGGTGCACCTCAAGCGCCCTCGTCCAGCAGGAAGCCATGCCGCGACTTCCAGACAAAGGGCTACTGTGCTCGAGGCAACGCATGCAAGTTCAGCCACGGCAACCAGCCAATCGCATTGGCGCCGTCCGGCAACGGCGTCAGCGATATTCCTGAAGGTATGCATATCTCTCTATCAAGTCTGTCCCAACCCCCACGCTTCCTGATGACCACTTTTTTTCAAATGCGGGAGCATTCGTGCGATGAGAACCCCATTATTATAAGGTTGACTTCTGAATCTACGCGTGTCTCAATCTCTTCACCACAAGACTTCATGACAGCGTGCAGCTTGCTGACAAGCTTCCAGGCCAGCTTAGAGACATGATGCAGATGATGTTGACGCAGACGTCACAACAGATGAAGGATCTCATGGATACCTTCAACAAGACTACCCGAGGTGGAGGTCATGGTGGCAGAGGCGGTCGTGGCGCCTCTTCAGGGTCGCGGCGGAAGCGGAAGGCTTCCATTTCCGCCGACGGTCCTGTCCACGATAAGTCTAGAAGTTCCATCGTGGTGGAGAACATCCCCAAGGAGCATCTGAACGAGCAGGATATTCGCGAGTCCTTTGCAGGATTTGGCGAGATCACCGACATTGCGGTGCAGCCGAATAGGCGGCTGGCAGTCATCAAGTATGACACATGGGACTCGGCGAACGCGGCTTACAGGTCTCCCAAAGTCATCTTTGACAACCGCTTTGTGCGGGTGTTTTGGCAGCAGGATGGGTCCAAGGACGACGAGGACATGGATGTCGAGAAAGAGCCGGAAATCGACCTCGAGGAGTTTATGAAGAAGCAGGAAGAGGCGCAGAAGCGCTACGATGAGAATCTGCAGAAGAAGGCCGAAATCGATAGGCAGCGCGAGGAGCTTGAGCAGAAGCAGCGAGAGCTCCTCGCTCGTCAGCGGGAGGTCAGGCAGAAGCTACACGCCAAGCTTAGCAACGGCGAGGGCGCCTCGACCGGCAGCACATCGACTAGCGACGCGCTGCGTGCGCAGCTAGCGGCTCTTGAGGAGGAGGCATTACTCCTGGGTCTTGACCCTGACGCCGATGACGTGAGCGTCTACTCGGGCGAATACCGCGGCCGTGGCAGAGGTCGCGGCCGAGGAAGAGCCAGGGCAGCTTGGGCTCCTCGCGCACGCGGATCCTACCGCGGACGTGGCGGCCCTGCTGGCCGCGGCGACATCCACGCCGCCTACGCGTCATACTCACTCGATAACCGGCCCCGCGTCGTGTCCGTCGCCGGCGCCGACTTTTCCTCCCCCGCTAGGGACGAGGCGCTGCGTCAGCATCTCCTCGGGATAGGCGAGTTCACGGGCATCGACACCACACCTGCCGGCGCGCAGATCACCTTTAAGGACCGTAAGACGGCCGAGAAGTTCTTCTACGGCGTCTCCCTCGCGCAGGGCGTCATGCCCGGTGTCGAGGAGAAACTCGAGCTTGGCTGGGTCGCCAAGGCCCAGCCACCTGCGCCCTCGCGTCTTGCTGCGAAGGCCGAGGCGGACGAAGATACGTCCATGGCTAATATCCCTGATGCCCCGAGTCCTCGTCGCGACGTAAAGTTCGATATGGACTACGAACAGGCAGAGGAAGGCGAGTGGGGCATCGAGTAGGTTTTGGAGATCCCAAAATCCTTCATGCCGCAGAGCGGACGTGACGACACAAGCTCGTCGACGGATGGATCACTTGGTTGTTGTATGATTGTACGATCTTTGGCTGTTTGCGTACATTGGAACCCCAGGATGGGGAGGAAGGCGGGCGATGGATGGCCCGAACGGATGAACGACTGAGATACCCATGCCAAAAAGGCGATGACTGCTTTTCAGTATTTCTCCAGGCTTTGTCGTGACTTGATTCCGTGATCCTGCTGCTTCCTCTCCCCTGGCCACGGCAAATCGGACTTCACGTGCAACTACTCAAACATACGATCACCATCAGCATCAAATATACACCAGGCGAGCTGTGTAGAGGAAGAGAATGCCCCCGTGTTGAATTAGAACTCCATGCTCCAGAGCCGCTGTTCCCGCGGCTATAGCTATGGACTCGTTGGTCCTTTTGGGGGGACGGGTATCGTTGAGATATGATGTGATGATGGATGCACGCATGCTTGCTTTCTTTCGCCCGTTTCCTGCGCCTCCCGGCGGCCTTGCCCCATTGTCCCTCCCGGCCGGGGACATTTTCCGCAAACCCCGAGACGCCCTCTCAACTTCCCCCGGCAGCGGCAGCGATGTGCTTTTTGTTGAAAAAGCAGGGTGTGCGTGGCCGGGGCATGTTGGCGAGAGGCCGGCCGTGGCCGACCCCGCAAGCCTCGTGAAATCCATTTCGTGTGTAAAATCCGGTTGAACGCCTTCGTGATGCATCATGATGAGTTGAACATTATGAAGAGAGAAGTGTATGTCTAAAAAGGTGAAAATTAGTTTGCGGGGGCGGCACCGCCGTTGGTGACGCCCTCGGCGGTGACCGGCTTGATGTCGTCGTACTCCTTGATGGAGAGGCCTTCGAAGAGGTCGAAGATCTCCCGCTTCTGGTGGAAGTCGTTGTTCACTGGGAATGTCAGTAACTTGAGCAGCTGGTTGTCTCAGGGGTGGCGTACCAATGTTGACGAGGTACCACTCATTCATGATCCGCTCGATCAACGTGCGGCTGGGGGTACCCGCGTCGAAGCAGTGTGCCCAGTCCAGGCCGAGGCGGAAGGCCTCATCCTTCCAAGCGATGAAGCTGACGCTCTCGACGATGGTCGGCTGCACAATCTCCTTGCCCGGGAAGACTCCCCACGTCACGGCGTTGGGACCCTCGCTAGGGGCGTTGAACTTGAGGTTTCCGTTCTTCGTCAGGGCGTAGTAGGTCATGTCGGGCTGCTTCTCGATGCGGGAGATGATCTCGGGGAAGACATCGGGGTGGACGAGGAACTCGACGTAGGACTTCTGGTAGACGTAGCCGTTCGGCGGTCCCCAGCCGTGCACGGGGTGAGAGGACTTGACGCCGTCGACGGCGGGCTGCGAGTTAATGGTGATGAGACCGCGCTTGTTGAGGGCGATGAGCTCGTCGCGGATGGGGTCGGCCTCGGTGGTGAGCGGCGACTCGCTCCAAGGAAGGGAATCGATTTCGTTGTTCAGGTAGCGGACGAAGAGGTTGCCGATGTCCTGGACGCTCTGAGGCTCACCCCACTTCTTGCGATTCTGCTCGTTGCTGCCAGTCAGGCCGATACCGTAGGCGTCAAGCTCGCCGAAGGCCGGAGAGCGCGAGTCACCCCAGCGTCCGTTGGGGAACTCGTCCCAGTCCTGGGTGCGGAGAACATAGGACTTGTTGCGGCCCTTCCAGAAGATGGGGCGCACGTCCTCCTCCCTTCTTCCGAAGCCCAGCGATTGCTTCCAGGGCAGGGCGTGCTTGAGCGGCCTGTCGTTGGTCGGCAGCCAGTCCAGCTCCTCGAGGACCATGCGAGTGGCCTGAGCGAGGTTCATGGTGTAGAAGTGCATGTGGTGGATTCCGGCCTTTGCGATCTTGCGGCAAAGGTCGGCAACGAGGGTCTTTCCGATGTCCCTGACGGCAACGTCGTCGTTCTTGACAGACTCGAGGGCGCTCATCCACTCGTCGGGGACCTTGCAGCCCATGTGCTTGGCGCGACGCAGGAAGCTGGCGTAGGTGGCGATGGGCATGATGCCAGGAATGATGGGGATGGTGATGCCGCGCTCGCGAACCCTGCCGACCCAGCGGATGAAGTTGTCTGCGTCATAGAACATCTGGGTGACGATGAAGGAGGCGCCGGCGTCAACCTTCTCCTTGAGGTGGTCCAGCAGGCTGTCCTCGTCCTTGTTGTCGTCGCTGCCCTCGGGGTAGCCGGCGACGCCGATGTCGAAGTGGTCGTTGTAGGTGTCGCGAATGTGCTTGACGAGGTCCCGGGCGTACTGGAACTTGTCGTCGGTGGCCACCCACTTCTCCTTCTCGCGGGGCGGG